CTCTTTCTCTCTCATTTTCTTTCTCTATCTCTTTCTTTTTCTCCCTTTCTTTCTCTTCCTTTTTTCTTTCTCTTTTCACATTCTCTCCCACTTTCTTTCTCTTTCTCTGTCTTTTTCTTTCTCTTTCCCTTTCTCTTTTCTCTCTTTCTCTCTCTCTTTTCTCTCTCCCTTTCTTTCTCTTTCTATCTTTTTCTTTCTTTCCCTTCTTTCTCTTTTCTCTCTCTCTCTCTCCCTCTTTCTCTCCTTTTCTTTCTTTCTCTTCTCTTTCTCTTTCTTTTTCTCTTTCTCTCTTTCTCTTCTCTTTCTTTCTTGATCTCTTTCTTCCTCTTTTTTGCTTTCACTGTCACTTTCTCTCTTTCTTTTTCTCTTTCTCTCTTTTTCTTTCTCCTCTTTCTCTTTTTTCTCTTCCTCTCTTCCTCTCTTTTTTTCTTTCTCTCTTTCTCTGTCTCCCTCCCTCTTTCTTTCTCTCTTTATTCACACACACACACACACACACACAAACACACAACCACATCGTTTGGACCGATCCCCAAATCCAGAATGACAGAATCGTGTCACCGACTCCGAAACTGGCTCCATTCGAGAGGGAAACGCTCCCAGCCAATGCTTGGCTTGCGAAGCTGACAGGCGAGGAGAAGGGGGGGAAAAAAACCCACCGAGGGCCGTCTCATGGAAAGGAAGGACTCCAGCAGGGATAAAGCATCTGGATTAGAACAGAGCGGTTAGAAGAGAAGAGGGCTTCTGAGCATGCAAGAAAAGCACCCCTTTCCCCCTGCAAAAAAACCCCGCAGACCATTTCTGAGCATGGAAAAAAAACTATCCCTGCAAAAGCAGCCAATGAGGTTTTCTGAGCATGGGGAAAGCGCCTTTCTCTCTCTGCAAAATGCTCCAGGGGGGCCCTGAGCGTAGAAAAATGCCTTTTTTCTCCCTGCGAAGAGGCCAAGAGGGTCTCTGAGCATGGACAAAGCTCCTTTTTCTCCCTGCAGCGGGCAAGAAGGTTTTTGAGCGTGGAAAAAGCCAATTTCCCCCCTCCGCGCACGGTGCATAAGTGGGCTTCTGAGCATAGAATTTCCCCCCCCTATCCGTGCAGAGTGCCTGCACAGCTGGACAGGCCTGTGAAACGCCGTGTGGGGCTGTTTGATAGATCTCCCCTAATGCACAGAACAGCCACAGGGGGAGTTCAAAGATTTTATCTTTTTTTACTTTGATGATTCAATTGAGATGTTTGGCAGGACAGGCACAGAGTGGCGTGGGCTCAGGGCTGGGTGGCGTCCAGGTGGGGGGGCTGCGGTTGAGGTGCCCCTTGGCCATGCCAACGAGAGCTAAGGGAACTCGGCAACGGTACACTCTTAAGAGCCACAAATGTCCTCACCGGAAGCCCCCCAGTTCAATTCTACAGCCGACGGGAAGTCCGCTTCCCCCATCATAGTCCGGCGTCCATTATCCTCTACCTGTCCTAACCGAAAGCCCTATCAATGGTGGAGCTGATTGGCGACAGGGAGCCACAGCAGAGAAACAAAAGAGCCACATGCAGCTCCGGAGCCGCAGTTTGTGCTAATCCCTGGCCTAGACAATTCAGCTCCTTTTGCAACGGAGAAATATTCCTTTTTCTCTCTGGATCAGGAGAGAATGCAGAACGCAGAATCCCAGGGCTGGAAGGGACCTCAGAGGTCCTCTAGTCCAACCCCCTATTCGATTCTGGGCAGAACGTGCTGGACGGCAAACCACACAGCCTTACTGCCCCCAATCTCCCAATTAAAAGAGAATCTACGCCTGTTGAATTTCTTCCCGGCCCAGGTGACGCAGCTGCAGCTCAGTCTGCAAACACTCTGGATCCTGTCCATCTGTCCCCTCCTCATTTTCTCCCACGCCCCCCTCCCCAAAAAAGCCAAGGGTGGCGACAGCCCAACCTACTTGCCAGAAGCGTAGACTTCGGCCGTGTCAAAGAGGTTGACCCCGTTTTCGTAAGCGATGGTGAGCACGTTTTCAGCCACCTAGAAGCAGAAAAAGAAAAGGGGGAGGGAGGTTTTGAGAAAAGAGGAAGGGGGCTTTTTAAATCTGAGAGGCTTCACTCTACACACACACACACCACACACACACAAAGCCTCTCTTGTGCCACCAACCGCTCAACTCCTGCCTGTTAATTAATCAGAAGGAGGAGGGGGGGGAAACCCTTAGAAACTTTTCTATCTATTATTGGCTTTCGGGGGAACACAACTCTGTGTGTGTGTGTGGGCGCGCGAGCGCACGCGTGCGTGCTAGGAAGGGGGGGGGGGTCTTTTCAATTTTAGACTTGGAGGGGAAGCTGAGGTCAATCTACATCTCTTTTTAAAAAGAAAAGCTCGGAACTTTAACATGTTTGGACTTCGACTCCCAGAATTCCCCAGCCAACACGGAGGTCAGCAACCTCAGCAACTTTTAAAATGGGTGGACTTCAACTCCCAGAATTCCCCAGCCAGCTCTTTCCCCCCCCCCCACTTTGCTGAAGTTAAGATAGATTATGCTTTCTGCATACCCACCGTCTATTAAGAAAGTTACCCTATNGCTTATCTCTCCTCTCGTCTGTCTGTCTGTCTGTCTGTATCCATCCATCCATCCATCCATCCATCCATCATCTATTTACCTATCTATCGAATACATAGATATCTCATCTATCATTCTCTCTCTCCCCCCATAATCTATATCTATCCACTTATCTGCCCCCTCTCATCTGTCTCTCTACCTGTCTGTCTGTCTGTCTCTCTCGAAATGATTGGACAACCATTTGTCCTGGATGGTATGTAAGGACTCCAGCTTTGGGCCTTGTAAGGGTTGGACTAGAAGACCTCCAAGGTCCTCTCCAGCAACACGATTCTATGATCTCTCTCTCCGCCTGCCTGCCTCTATCCGTCTCTCTGTCTCACTAAGCGTCTGCCAGTGAGCTGGACTGCAGTTCCCATCACTCCCAGCCAGCCAGGTCTAGGCTACCTGGGACCCTTATCCAAAAGACCCTTAGCCTTGCTTCCTTTCTCCTTGACCCCTCTCATGTGGGCCTGATCCGTTGGGGGGGGTTGGACAACTAGACCCCCGATTCTAAATGCCCCCCCCCCCCAATATCCTACCTGTATCTCATGCTGCTCTGGCTTCTCTCGGCTTCGTCCAGCGTCATCCCGACCTCCATGAGGTAGCTCTCCATCCGCCGCTTCTCCATGCAACACCTGGTGGCCTCCACTCCCTGGGGAGCATTCGGGGCCTCCCCATCCGAGCCCAGAGGGACCCCTTGTCTCTTGGGGCTCCGTCGCTGTGCGGTGTCCCCCCCTCGCACCTTGTTCTTCTTGTTCAGGCCGTAGAGCTCCTCCAGGCTGAATTTGCCCCCACCTGACGTGGCCCCCCGACCCATGGGGGCCGAGCCCCCTCGGGAAGAACTCGCAAACATGAGCCGGAGACAGAGTGGGGAGGGGGGGGGAAACTGGCACGGCGGAGGACAGCAGGAGTCCTTGCGCCGAACAACCACAGAGTGACTTTTCTGGGCTGTGCCCCCCCCTTCCCAACCTGCAGGGTGAGGTGGGGGGGACACGTGGGGGATTTGTAGGGCTAGCAGCTGTTGAGTGTGGTCTCGGTGCTAGTGTTTTCCATTGGGTCCTCGCCGTTCCCTCCCCTTAACAGCCTTTTGATCGCCGGCTGGTGCCTAATCCTTTTTCATTGGGGGGGGGGGGGTGTATGATTAATTTATCTCGGATTTTATCGCGGTCCTTTTGCACATAAGGGGTCCGATGACACGATTGGAGTGTCCCGTTTCTTTTTAATGGGAAAGTGAGGAAACGGGCCGGCTTTCGCACGGGTCTTGAAATGTGTACGTGTGTGTGTTTTTGTGTGTGTCGAATTTCCACAGTCGGCTTTTGAAAGCAGCCGTGTCCCAGGTGGGAAAATCTCGCCGGATTTTCCCGGCTGCTCTTTTCAAAATCATCGGGGAGTTCTTGATTTAGAACGACGATGGAGACCCGTGTTTTTTTTGTGGTGAAGTGAGACAGCGGCGAAGCGACTGGTGCCCCGGTTTTACGACCTTCCTTGCCACAGTTGGGAAGTCATTCGCTGCACTTAATTCAGTTAGTTAAACGAATGAGACTTATCCTTGGACGGAAGGTCGCAAAAAGGAGATAGTGACACACACACACACACATCGCTGCGTCCGTCGTAAATACGAGTCAGTGACCAAGCGTCTGAGTTTTGTTAGCTCTGAAACTCATTTGCTGTATAGCCTGATTGTGTTTGAAGCAGAGGTGAATTGCTCGTGGCACGACAAAACCGCGCTCCACTAAAGCGCGCCCGATTAAACCGTGTCGTTGACGTCATCAGCAGGGCAACAACAGCAACCGCGGAGAAAAAAGGGTGCTTTAAATAGCGCTTTGAAAGAAAGCCGATTCACGTTAAGGTAAGGGTTAGGTTTAGGTTAAGGGTTAGGTTAAGCGTTAGGGTTAGGTTTAGGGTTAGGTTAGGGTTAGGATTAGGTTTAGGATTAGGTTTAGGGGTTAATTTTAGCTTTAGCGCTTGCAGCGTGCTTTTTTCGTCGCGCTGTGATGACGTCAGCTACGCGGTTTCATTGAGCGCGCTTTAGCCGAACACGGTTTTGTGGTGGAACCGAATTGCTACCGGTTCGCACCAGTTCAACCGAACCGGTTGGGGAAATTGCAACTCGGTTGCCGTACTGGTAGGGATGGCAGGCTGGCCACGCACCTGAACCGGTTCCCCAGTCGCTGCGGCATGTTTTCTTTTTGACATTTTTAATGTTCTGTGCATGCGCAGACCTATTTGCCGGCAACTGCTCATGCGCACGCAAAACACCGGTAGAAACCCCAGTGGTTTGAACCTGCTGAGTCTCTCCTTGCTACCCCGTTGGAAGAATCTGCTGTGGGTATTGTAAATTTACTTCCTGTGTTATTGTGCACATAAAGAAGTGAACGAATCCTGCTCAATCGGTTATCTGGGTGAGCTTTCCCGAGGCGATTTCTACTCGGACAAAATAACTTGAGATCCGGTTTATTTAAAAAAAGAAAAATAATATCAGAATATTCCACTATAAATAGAACGGCATCCAGCGACGGTGCGACAGCCCGATGCAGTTCTTCGGACGGGAAACGGAGGCACAGTTCCTGGCGAAAGGTATGCAAATGCCCAGCCTCATGGGAAATGAAGCGGCTTGCTGTTTCTGGACCGTCCGTACTCCGAGGAGTCCTTGAGGGGGTGTCAGGAAAAAAAGAGAGAGCTAGCCGGCACGAGCCGAGAAGAAGGGCAACGCCCGGACGAAGCTGTCCAGCTTGTTCCGGAAAAGCTCGCTCTGGATGCTCTCGTTTAAGCTGCAGAGGGGGTTTTTCACCACATACTCCACATAAATCTAAGAGAGAGGGGAGAAAGAGAGGTGCGGTGGTAAGCAGGGATTCCTTCTCCCCGAGCCCCCCTCCCTGCCCCCAGAGAGGAAAAACGGAGCGGAGTTATGGCCTTCACAGGGTCCAATTTGTCTTTTATAGTGCACTAGCCGATATCCCACCGTTGTCCGGGTATTTATTTATGGAGGGGAAATATCCGGACCAAACGTAATTCTAATGTTGGATTTTCCCCCTTACCAGAGGGAGCCCCCTTGTGGAGTAGTATCATGAAGCCCTTACCATGGTAACTCCTCTGCACTGTAGAGTAGAAGCCATTTTACGGCAGTACAGTAGAAGCCGTTTTAAATCACAAAAAGGCTGTCTCTTAACAGAACACATACCCCGAGGGGTTGTTACGGGTGTCTTACCCCCACAGTATTTGTTTCCAGAGAGTAAATCATCTGTGTACCAAGTTTGGCTGAAATTGTTCCAGGCGCTCCAGAGTTATGCTGGAACCCACGCACACATAAACACACGTACGTACGTATGAAGATGCTTTATAGGACCACCCCGGTGGGAATAAAAAGGAACCTTTTAACTTGTGGACGTTTCATCACCTGACTAGATAACCTCATCAGTTTGCTCTGCAGAGAGCAAATAACCGCTTCCTTCCAGCACTGATGTTGTTACCGGCTATGGTAGTGAATTGTCAGCAAGAAAATCAGCAAGCTCAGAAAGCACCAAGGAGCCCAGAGTCTTCTCCCTCCTCTATTCTGCAAGCCCCTCTCCCTTCTAGCACTGATGTCGCTACCTAGGTGGGTCATGAAACGTCTGCAAGAAAACAACCGAGCCCAGAGAGCACCAAGGACCCCACTGTCCTCCTCCTTTCCTCCTCCATCCACAACCCCCCTCTCTCTTCTAGCATTGATGAGGTTCCCTAGTTGGGTCACGAAACGTCTGCAAGGAAACCACCAAGCTCAGAGACAATCAAGGAGCCCACAGTCCTCCTCCGTTCCTCCTCCTCTTCTTCACCCTGCTCTTCTTTTTCCTTCTCTCTGCAAACCCCTCTCCCTTCCAGCACTGATGACGTTACCTAGATGGGTCATGAAACGTCTGCGAGGAAACTACCAAAGCTCAGAGACCACCAAGTTGAACTCTTGAGCTACAAATATTTTTCTCCTATCGCCGGAAACTTTTTCATTCCTCTTATTAAAATTCCCCGGTCGTTTTAGATGACAGTGCAAAAATAGATTTCCTAAACTTGCTGAGACTTCAATTTCTATTTTTTTTATAACCAAAAGAGGCCTTTTCTAATTTCCGTCGGAAAACCGGAACCAACCAGCGGCCAAAATTTCCCACTGCAAACTGACTTTTCTTTTTGATTCCTTCAAGCTTTAAATCGCTCGGCTGTTACGCTGGGCGCGACTCTATTTTAACCAGCGGCTGGCTTGCTTAGCGGTAGATACTTCGGGGCCCGGCTCTAGTCGTAAGACGAGGACTCTTGGTACCATAAAAGGGGGACACAACACACATCAATCCTCACATAGCCGTAGATCTGGTGCAGGATGTCCTGGATGTTGCCCACTCCCAGGTCGGTGTTCATGACCACCTTGAGTCCGCTGGGCGTCTCGTAGTAGTGCAGTTTGTACTTGCTGGTCTGGAAGGAGAGGAAGCCGTCCTTCCTGCGGAGCGGGGACGTTAAGGGAAACACGCCCGCTTCGCTGGCCCGCTAGCTGTTGGGTCTTGCAAGTGTGACTCTGGGTGTACTAGGAAGGACCCCCCCCCCCGTGGGGTCCTTCTCTGCCCCCACTCCCATCCCCACCCCGAGATTGCGCAGTGGGGGGGGGGGGGAAAGGATACATATCCACAGGGCTCATTTTGCTAACGAAGGAGCGGATGGAGAAGAGCATCCCGTACATCAGCTTGAATTCCTGGGATGGGGAGCAGGGAGAGAGGGAGGGAAGGAGGGAGGGAGGGAGGGAGGGAGGGAGAGAGAGAGAGAGAGAGAGAGAGAGAGAGAGAGAGAGGCCATTACATGTCATTTTGGGTCATATGACACAGGTGGGCATATGCATAACTTTGTATTCTTTCTCTTTCTTTCTTTCTTTCTTTCTTTCTTTCTTTCTTTCTTTCTTTCTTTCTTTCCTTCCTTTGTTTCTTCCTTCCTTCCCTCCCCTTTCTTTTTCTTCCTTCCTTCCTCTCTTCCTTCTCTTCTCCCTCCCTCCTTTCTTTCTCTCTTTTTTCTTTTCTTTCCTTCTCTTCTTCCCTCCCCTTCCGCCTTTCTTTTTCTTCCTCCCTTTCTTCCTTCTCTCTCCCTCCCTTTCTCTTTCTACCTCACATCCTTTCTTTCCCTCCCTCTCTTTCTCTTTTTTTTCCATCTTTTTTCTTCCTCCCTCCCTCCTTTTTCTTTCTTTCTTCTGCCCTTCCTTCCTTCTCTCCCTCCCTTCTAGCTCTCCCTCTTTCTCTTTTCTTTCCTTCTCTTTCTCTTCCTCCCTCCCTCCTTTTTCTTCCTTCCTTCCTCCCTTTCTTTCTTCTCTCCCTCCCTCCCTTCTTTCTCTCTTCCTCCCTCCTCTCTCTTTCCTTCCTTCTGTCATAAGTTATGTAGTGCATATCCGAGGGAGTGACCCTTCGACAGCTGCATGCAAGGAAATTACATTTTAATATATGTCAATTAGTGGACATTCAAAGCAACAATAAAGTTATTCTAAAAGTTCTAAGACTTAATATAGGTAGTCCCTGGCTTACAACAGTTCGTTTAGTGACGGTTCAAAGCTACAACGGCATTGAAAAATGTGACTTGGGGCCGTATTTCAGAGTTGCGACCATTGAGGCCTCCCCAGGGGTCCAGCGATCAAAATCCAGGTGCCTGGTCATTGGTTCATACTTATGACGGTCGCAGTGACCCAGGGTCATGTGATCCACTGTTGAGACCTTCTGACCAGCAAAGTCAATGGGGGGGGGGAGCCAAAGTCACAACATGTTATCAGCCGCAGGGATTCACTTAACAACGGAGGCAAGAATGGTCGTAAAATGGGGCAAAACTCGCTTAACAAATGTCTCGCTTAACAACAGAAAGGTCGGGCTCGGTTGTGGTCGTAAGTCGAGGACGACCTGTAAAAGACTTGGAAGGGACCCTAGAGGTCATCTAGTCCAACCCCCTGCTCGAGCAGGAGACCCTATAGCATTCCAGACAAACATCCAATCTCTTCATCAAAGCCTCCAGTGAGCGAGCAGCCACCACTTCTGGTGGCAAGTAGTTCCACCGATTACATTGACTCGACTTACAACCTTCTGGTTGGTGAAGCTACGACGGCAGTGAGAAAAAGTGACTTACGGCCGTTTTTCACACTTACGGCTGTTGCAGCCTCCCCGCAGTCACATATTCAAAACAGCAACTGACTCAGGCTTGTGACGGGGTCATCGATCCCCGTCAAGAAGGGAAAGTCTACTTAACACCCGTGTGACTAAATGAACAGCCGAGGCGATTCGCTTAACGACAAGCCGTAAAAATGGAGGCAAGCAAAAAGGATCTCGCTCAGCGACGGGAAAACGTTAGAGGGCCGCTGTGGGGGGTTTCCGTCCTGCCATTCTTCTTGCTGACGGGGATTTTCCTCCTTAATTCTAGGCTAAATACTAACTTGAGAAATGCCAAGTCTCGGAAGGGGCGCCAGGCCAGGGGTTTCTCCGGGCGACTCGTCCTGCTCTGGCCCCACATCGCACCAAGTTTATGGAGATGAAGGCAATTCAACCCAAGAGAACATTGTGCCGCTCTGTTTAGCGAAGCTTTACGGCACAGCGGGGGGACCAGAAAACAGCTTCAGGCTTCAGAGACCGCAGGGAGGCCCCAGCGGGGCTGAGAAAGTCCTCGAGGAGACCGACAAGGTTAACCTTTCCCCTGCCGAGCACCACGGGGCAACGCCATTTGGTCTCATCGTGCTCCTTGTCTTGTGGGAAAAAAACATAGATATCGGTCTTGAATGGGGTGCAGGACTAGGGGTGGGATTTAGCCGGTTCGCCGAAGCGGTTGTTGCAAGCACAGGCTGGCCTCGCCCACCCCTCCCAGGAGTCTCCAAGCAGCCTGTTCATCATGCCAGGTAAGTGCAGGGCCCACGTGGAGGCTCTTGGAGGGCGGAAAACGGGCCACCCGGAAATGGGCCCGTTTCCGGCTTCCGGAGCCAGGGAGAGGCCATTTTTTGCCCTCCCGGAGGCTCAAGAAAAACCTCCGAAGCTTGGGGAGGGCAAACACACCTTGCCTCACCCTGGTGCAGCAGGCCACGCCCATCATGCCCATGCCCACCCAGCCATCGGGCAGAGAACTGGTTACTAACATTTTTCAATCCCTGCGCAGGACCCAGAATTGTGAATTAAAATTAGGGGAACGGCAGATCCCACCCCGAAGTTAGAAAAAAATGTTCTGTTGGAAAGCTAGAATCCCAGATGAGAGTCAGGTGGGGAAGAATATATATATATATATAACCCGTAACAAAAGAGTTATATTAGAGGTGACTTAGATGGCGTGTCTATATATATATATATATATATATATATATGTATGTATGTATGTATGTATGTATGTATGTATGTATGTATGTATGTATG